TCAACCACAAAACGTCTTCCTTGGGCCTGCAGGCCCCTATGGGGGTAAGCTGATAGACTCTGGTCCTACCCGCTACATCAGCAGCATCTTACCACTCCCCCTATACACCTCCACCTTCCAATATTCTAACCTCACTGACTTTCTAGTCTTCAAACACATACGGTCATTCCCAGCTTGGGCCCGTGGCACTTGCTATCCCGAGATTCAGAATACCCATCACTGAACATCTTTGGGTAACTCTTGGTACCTCCTCAATGAGGCCTTCCAGTCTGCTATTTAAAGCAATCCCTGCTTGAGTTCTTCTCTCTTGTCCCCATTCTATTTTCTTCTTGGTACACATTAGCATTTCCCTTCATTTCCTATAGCTTCTGTTCAAATTTACCATGAAGTGGGGGGTTTACAATGACAAGAATGTACTCTCACAGTCTGGGGAGGCTGGAGGCTGGACTCAAAGTGTCAGGAGCCAGGACTGCTCTCCCTCTGAAGGCTCATGGGGAGAACAATCCTTACAGTTTCTTGGCTTGTGGCTGCATCACTGCACCATCTCTGCCTCTGTCTTCGTAGGCCTTTTCCTCCTCTCTGTATGTCTCTCTTCAGTGTGTTTCTTACAGGGACATCTGTCGTTGGAGTTAGCGCCCCCCCACCCACCATGATCCATGATGATGTCATCTTTAGATCCTTAACTAAGGATCTGCAAAGATCCTTTTTCCAAATAAGGTCACCTTCACCGGTTCCAGGGGTTAGAAGGTAGACATATCCTTTGAGGGGTGGGGTGGGGTGGTGGTTCCCAAACTAACCTGCTGCATCACTTTACATTATCTTGTCTTCACATCGCCCTCCCACCCCATGACCAAGTTAGAATATAAATTACATGAGAGCAGCAGTCTGGTTTCAATTACTGCTGTTTCCCAGGGCCTGCAACAGTAGAGTCTAGCACACAGTAAATGCTCAGTAATTATTTGCTGAATGAATGAGAGGTTGATAGCTTTAATCGAAGGGAATAGCCTCAAGGGAGAAAAATTCTGTAAATAGACAAAGAGCCAACATTTACTGTATAGGAAGCTGAACAATTTGCCCAAGGCTCTAGTGATCAAATAGCCAGAACTCAGCTCCAGGTGTTAGTACTCTAAAAGTCTTCTGTTAAGCATTAAGTTGTACTGCTCCAAGTTTCTGAATTTCTCATTTTTTTGCTTCATCCACAGCATATGATTATGTGGTTGGGAGATGGAAATAACTCTTCTGACCTTGAAATAAGCTAATACCTTTTTTATTTAAACACAGAAGTTGTCTTTTAAAAAATGAGAAAATACCAAGGCAGGTGGATTGCCTGAGCTCATCGAGACCAACATGAGCTAAAGCAGAGACCCCATCTCTAAAAACTGCCCGGTGTTGTGGCAGGCACCTGTAGTTCCAGCTACTTGGGAGGCTGAGGCAAAAGGATTGCTTGAGTCCAAGAGTTTGAGGTTGCTGTGAGCGATGGCACCGTGGCACTCTACTGAGGGCAACAAAGCGAGACTGTCTCAAAAAAAAAAAGGAAAAGAAAAGAAGGCCAAATGTGGTGGCTCATGCCTATACTCCTAGCACTCCAGGAGGTCCAGGCATGTGGATTGCTTGAGCTCAGGAGCTGGAAACCAGCCTGAGCAAGAATGAGACCCCATGTCTACCAAAAATGGAAAAAGTAGCTGGACGTCGTGGCAGAGGCCTTTAGTTCCAGCTACTGGGGACACTGAGGCAAGCAGATCTCTTGAGCCCAAGAGTTTGAGCTTGCTAGGAGTTATGGTACCACAGCACTCTACGCAGGGTGACAGAGTGAGGCTCTGTCTCAAAATACAAAAAATTCAAAATAAGGCTTAGCACCTGTGGCTCAAGCAGCTAAGGTGCCAGCCACATACACCTGAGCCAGCGGGTTAGAATCCAGCCCAGGCCTGCCAAAAAACAATGACAGCTGCAACTAAAAAATGGCCAGGCATTGTAGTGGGTGCCTATAGTCCCACCTACTTAGGAGACGGAGGCAGGAGAATTGCTTGAGCCCAGGAATTGGAGGTTGCTGTGAGCTGTGATGCAACAGCACTCTACCCAGGGCGACAGCTTGAGGCTCTGTCTTAAAAAAATAAATAAATAAAATGAAAATGAGAAAATAATATTGTATAACCTAATTATAAGCACAACACTTTTAAAAAGGTACTAATATTATTCCCCCACCCCCAAAGAGAATGCTGGTTGATTTATTAAGTTATGCACAGTAAGACATTAGATATATTTGAAGCATTAAGTTTTTCCTTTCAAGTCAGTGCACATAAGAATAACCCTCAAAGAGACTAAAGCTTCTGGGGCTGAATTTAACACTATTTAAAGAAAGAAAACCTTAGCTAGGGGATATAACCGCTAACATGGTGATTTGTAAAACCTTAGATTTCTAATCAGGTCTGACTGTTTCAAGGAAAACATATTTTGTTTCTAGGTAACATTTCAAGTCTGATTATGAACAAATGCTACAAAATTGATCTGTAATGGGAAATACTGTAGTGTCACAAAGCATTATTTAATGCTTAATGTGACTAAAAGCATTAATTGCTAGGAGCCAAAGTCTGTCCGAGCAAAACATGAACACACATTTGGTACCTCTTGTCTCTTACTGTAAGTTTTTGAATGAATTCGAGTGTAACAAAAATGTAGTTAGAAACTCAGCCATACCCGAAGGTTTTCTTCCCCTGTTTGGATTACCCTAGTTGTTACCTTGATAGCAAATGCCGGAGCCATGTCTGCTGAGAAGCGCCTGCCCGGCAAGCTATAGCTATGTGGCTACTTGTTAGCAGGTCAGCTGAAAGTGTCTTGTGGAATAAAGTAGGATGGCTGATAGGATTTTTCTGTTTCCAAGTCTCTCTAAATTTATTTTGCCACTTTTCTTTTTTTTTTTTAATTTTTTTTTATTTCAACTGTATTACTTTGAAGGTTTTTTTTTTTAATTTTTTTTTTTTTATTACTTCTTCCTCCTGTAGTGTTTTCTTGCCCCCCATGGAGCTGGGATCACAAGGTCCGGCTGTCTCGTCGTCCTGTTGTTGTTGTAGAGATGGGGTCTCACTCTGGCTCATTTGGCTCAGGGGGGTCTTGGCTGGTCTCGAACCTCTGAGCACAGGTGATCCACCTGCCTCGGCCTCCCACAGCGCTGGGACTATAGGCATGAGCCACCACGTCCGGCCTTGCCACTTTTCTAATAAAATCTCAGCTTCCTCCAGCAACACGGGATTGAGATTTGGCTCTCTCTGTGGTCTTAAAAATGATGTTAGAATTTCCCACTAAAACCAAGGAGTGCCATGGTGTTTGGTGCTTTGGCTCATGTTGAGGTATTAAAAATTCAAGCACTGGAAAGGGTGTGTCATCTAAGTACTTAAACCCATGAGGGTTTACGTGAACTTGGGGCTATTTCCAAAGCCATCCCCACTCTCAATTCTGGTCAGTCCCAGGGTTGGTGCCTAGGGATACAAACCTTAGGTATAAGGCTCCCCACCACCCCATGTGCTTTAAATACCTCTGTAATTTCATATAAAATAGAAAATGCACAGAAGCACCTCAAAGAAAATGAATATAAGGACTTGCAACTTTCCTACCTTAAAAGTGTTTATATAGTGCGTGCATGTAAGCTTTTCATCTGTCCTAGGATAAATACTAATAGCTGTGTACCAGACACTGTGCTAAGTTCTTACATACATTTCTCATGGAACCCTCACAACAGCCCTAGGAGGTTGGTACTTGTGAGAGGATAAGCTGCGTTTTGTTGCAGTACCAAAGATACTGAATATCTCAGTGGTTTTTAGCAACAGAGTTTTAATTTTTGCTTTTGCAAAGCCGTCTGTGGCCTTGACCAATTGTCAATGGCAGCTGTCGGGGTTCTGTAGGGCACCTCCACATGTGCCCATAGCCACTCGATATCATCCCTGCCCAACTCTCAGAGTAGTTAGGCCAATGAGTTAAGATAAAACACGTGCAAGACCCTGGAGGACTGAAAATAACACACAGAAGGATTGCTCCCTGTTGCCCTTTGTGAGCATATTGAGTGCCAAGGGTCAGAAGGATCAATGCCTGCAAACACCAGCCTGCTGGTTAAGTCCAAGTTTTAGAATTATCGCATGAAGCATTTCTCAAAACCATTCTATTGCTAGGCCAAATTAAATGATGTTGATAGCAATGGAATGGCAATTGGCATTTGTTTGTATTGTGAGCATTGCACTGTAATATCCATTTGTGTCAGGGCATCCTGACGATGTTTATAGGTGGCAAGGACTTAGAATTCAATTCCAAGGAAGATCAAGAGTCTTTGTACACTCAAAAAGCATTCATGAGTCCAAGTAGAAAAGATTACTAGGAAACTAAGGCCCGTGGTTTTCCTGGAAATGGAAACAGATCCTGGATCAGAATCCCTTTTCTTGACTCCAGTTGTCTTCTTTAAAGCCTCAATGTTCTCATCTAAAAAATGGTGATAATAACATCTACCATAGGAGAGTCATAAAACTCAACTGCAGTAATGAGCGTGAAGCAATTCTGTAGTCAGCACTCAGTACATGGCAGCCATTTTTAACCCCAAAGTATGGATGGTCCTTTTGTATTTCAGCATCAAAGATTTATTTTCCTCCTCCTAGTTACTTCTAGACTTCAATCCATGACATGAGTGACTGACTGAGGTTATGGATTTAACAGAAAAGTGTCAAAGCTTTGTTGGTTTGTTGTTTTAGGTATATGAAAGAAAGGCGGCTTTATAGCACCAAAGTTCACATCTTCTGTAAAAGGGAGGTTGGGCAGGGCCCTGCCTCATGAGGTGGCTGGGAGGACTTAGGGGGAAATGTGGGGAAAGCTGAGCAGGGCCGGATGCAAGGAGGCCCTCCATCCATTCAATGACGTTAGATCATTCTGTTAGAAAAACTTTTAAGGAATCGACAATCATTTTCAAGGGAAAAAGTATATACAAGGGAATCAAAAGAAATTGTTTAGAGAATAACCTAAACTTTATTTTATGACACGCATAATTCCATGTACAATAGGATTCACACTGAATCTGGGCTCATCAGCTTTAGGAGGCCACCCCTGAAGTCTTCTGGAAGGTCCATTGGCTTGCTCGTGGCTGGATTCACAAAGACATGAACTGAAGACCCAGTGGCACAGGCCAAAGCGTTAAACTGTGCTAACTTGGGATGGCCAATGAAAAAGCCATCGCTGAGGTCATGGTGATCTATGGAGGGCAGCTCCTTGGTGGGCTTAGGTGGGAACAGAGCAAGTCGGTAGTGCACGCTGGAGCGCCCCACTTTCTCCACAGCCAAGGCAGCCACTGGGATCTGAGGGAAGCTGATGGGTGTGTGGTAGGTACACTGATTGCTCACCATGAACCCCACCGTAGAGGATGTCAGCAAGCGGGTGTTCAGGCCACAGTACCTGGAAGTTAAATCACGTGCTTATTCCATGTCCTCTTTAGTGGTAGAGGGCTCTATCCTCAAAGCACCTTGAATCAAATCCAGCTCTGCCACTCATGGTGCCCAGGTAAATTACATAACTTCCCTGTACCTCAGTTTCTACACCAACCCAACATTCCTAACATAGCACTGACCTCATAGGCTGACTGTGATAATGTAAATGATGGACGCGTACCACTTAATATATTTATATTAACAGTTCCTAAACATGCATACTAAGTTCTCTTTAAGCACTGGGGCTATTATTAATGTAGCGATGTCCGTCTTGTCCTTGCTTCTCACAGACAAAAGTCAGGTACTTTTGTGTTAAATGAGAGAGACAACTCATTTATTAGAGATGATAAATTATTATGGTTCTTATTTCTGCTACTGGATTTTAATCTCTTTCAGGACAGGGGCTGCATCTTGTTCATTTTTCAAGGTTGCCAAATAGGAATGAGGTGGCACTGGAGATAAAACTTGGAGGTCGAACAGAATTGGAAATAAAAAGCACAGTGCTGAGTTTCAGCCCATCCCCTCCTCTGCACCAAAGAGGCCTGCCTATGACTTAAACATTTTAATCACATTGTCTTACTGTCTTCTCGTCTTGAAAAAATGAAGATTGAATGTGAGGATTCACTGTGAAGGAGCAATTAAGGGTTGCATAAAGGTTTGACTACAAAGCCATTCGTGGAAGGGAAAAAGAAACAAGTGACAAGTCCCCACTCAGGTGAGGTACCCATCTTGAGTGTCCTGTGACCAGCCGCCCTCAGAGTGCACCAGTGTCACCCACTGTGCCATTAGATACATCCACAGACTGACATGGAGAGATGTTCAGTAGAAAAGATCAGGTTACAGAATGTTATGCCCTACCCCATGTGATCTCATTTGTTATATAAGAACATGTTGGTTTATGTACATACAGCCTAAAAAAACTTTGGAAAGATAGACTACAAAATGTTTTCAGGAGTTATCTAGCAGTGGAACTTCAGATAATTTTTTTCTCTCTCCTTTTCTTTTTCTTTTCACTCTGTTGCCCTGGGTAGAGTGCTGTGTCATCAGCCTAGCAGCCACAACAACCTCAAACTCCTGGGTTCACATAATCCTCCTGCCTCAGCCTCTGAGTAGCTGGGAGTAGCCCGCCACAACACCTGGCTCTTTTTCTTTTCTTTTTCCTTTTTTCACTTGTCTGTCCCAAATGAACATACTTTGCCCTTGAAATAAGAAAAAAATGTTATTTTTTAAATGACGGGGAAAGCACTGGAGAGATGAACAGGCTGGATAAACAACCAAGGCTCCCTCTTCTGCCCATTAGGATCCGCCTCTGGCACGCTTGGAAGCCTTCTCCATAAATACCATGAGGAGGGTGTCTCAGATTATTCAGGCTTCTAAAACAAAAACACCATAGGCTGGGGAGCTTATAAACAACAGAGATTTCGTTCTCACAGTTCTGGAGGCTGAGAAGTCCAAGACCAAGGTGCCAGCAGAGTTGGCATCTGGTGAGGACTCACTTCATGGCTTGTAAACAGGAGCCTTCTTACTGAGTCTTCAAAGGACAGAACAGGATGAGGGAGCTCTCTGGTTTCTTTTGTAAGGTAGTAATTCTATCCATGTAACCTAATCACCTCCCAAAGGACCCACCTCCAAATACCCTCACATTGAACATATGAATCTGGGGAGGTGGAGGGTACAAACATCCAGTTTATAGTCGAGAGAAAGGGGAAACAGGAAAAGCCTTGCTTTTCAGCACGACTCCAAGATGCAGTGAGAATTCACTTCCTCTGTTTTCATTCCCATGCCTCTCTGTTGCTACGACTTTTCTATTCTCTGCCACTGTCTTCCTCTTTCTTTTAGAGAGAGGACAGTAAAGAAATAGTGCCTCTTCCCACCAGGAGAGCAATATTTCATGAGCTCCCTGTATTCTGTGTGAACCCAGCCATGATACTTTTAAATAATTGAAAGGCAGGAGTCAGTTTAAACAAGGCTCTTGACTGAGCACCTGGTACATGTCAGCACTGTGCTAGGTGCTTTATGTTTTATACTCAATGTCAAAACAACTCTGAAAGGCAAGTCTCATTTCCCCTATTTTACAGGGAAGAAAATAAAGCAGAGAGGTTGAATAAGTTTCCCAAAGGCATCCACGCATTTAGTGGTAGCCTTGGACCAAACTTTGGGCTCTCTTGATGCAAAATTAATATTTTCTCCTCCCTCTGGATTTCTAAATGATGAAAACAAAATGTACATTTCAGTCCAGTGGGTGAAACTGCATTTTCTTTTGATGGTTCTATGACTTTGAAACAGTGTCATCACAATTGGACAACACACCCCAGTTCGCAAGTTCATAACCTTGATTTGCTTGGTGGTGACCAGAAGGTACGCAGCAAGAGTTTTTTCAACTGTTTTCTCTTCTAGGTTTTAATCTTTATAAGAGTTTGTATATGCATTCTTACTTTTAAAAAGTCCAGTGTTGCCCAAAGCTAATTAGAAAAACCAGCAGTTTCCTGCTGATTATACCTTTGATTATAGTCTAGGTCAAGAAGTTCTTAGAATGAATTCATTCGTTCTACGTCATCTACTGCATATCTGCTCTTTGATGGATGCTAACGATACATACATCTTGGAGCAAAAGAGAATTCCAACCCTTGGGAGTTCTCAATAATGGGCCAGGGGTGGGGGTATGTTCTTGTTTTTAGCTCTATTCTCTCCTCTGGCAAGAAGGTGTTAGCTGCATTCCTTTCTTGTTGCAAAGAAAACTCAGGAGTCTGCTCTTTCCTCCTCCTTCTCCTCTCCTTTGCTTCCTTTCCTTAGTAAACATTTATCATGTACCTATTATATTCCAAGCACCTGCTAGGCATGCTAGGCATAGAAGAGATAGCAGTGAGCAAATGTAGCCTTGGTCTAGAGAAGCAGCAGCAGCAGAGGCAATCATGATGTAGCGTGATGAATACCATGCCAGGAAGAGCAGAGGGGCTCTGTAAGACCCAGCAGGGGGCATGGCTCAGTCTAGGGAATCAGGGAAGACCTTCTGAGGAGTGATAATTAAGCTGAGACAGGAAGACGAGGAAGGAGTTCTCCAAGTGAACAGAAGGAGGAAGAGTCTTCTGGGAAGAGAAATGGAGTGTGTGAGGGCCCATCTAGGAGCGAGAGAGAACATGGAACACCCCAGAGATAACAAGTCCCAGAGGGGTAGAAAACACACTTCCAGAGGAGGCTGGAAGGGAGGCAGAAGCCAGACTTGGAAGTGTCTTGTGAAAGAATTTGGATTTGGTTGGGCACAGTGGCTCATACCTATAATCCTAGCACTTTGCGTGTCCATAGTGAGAGGGTCACTTGAGCCCAGGACTTTAAGACCAGCCTGGACAACATAGTGAGACCCTACCTCTATAAAAATTAAAAATAATTAGCTGCGTATGGTTGAGCATGTCAGCTGCATGGGAGGCTGAGGCAGGAGGTTCACTTGAGCCCTGTAGTTCAAGGCTACAGTGAGCTACGATCACACCACTACACTGCAGTCTAGGTGACAGAGTAAAACACTAAACAAAAAAAGGGGAAAAAAGAATTTGGATTTCATTCTGAGGCAAAGGGAAGCCATATGCAAGGGACAGCAAGATCCAGTTCATTTAGTAAAATGACCCGTGGCCTCAAATTGAACAATGGAAAACAATGTCTATAGGGAGAACAGTTAGGTCCCTACTGCAGTCCTGGCAAAGATGATGGCTTGGATTAGGTGGTGACAGCAGAGATGGAAAAAACTGGATGGATTCTGGAGAGATTCTGCAGAAGGTCTGGTGATAAGTTGGGGTGAAGGGGTGGAAGGAGCCAGGATGACTCCCAGTCTTAGGCAATGAGCAAAGTGGGAATGCGGAGGAGAGGCTTGGAGTGAAGGAGAGGGAGGAATGTGACCAGTTACGTTTTAAAGAGGTCGAGCGGGGTGCCTGTAAGATTTTAAGGAGAGGTGAACATTAGGAATAAAGGTATCACGAACTCACATTTATTTAGCCCTGCACTGCAGGCAAGGCCTTCCCTTAAGCATACAAACAGCACGTTCTTAACACGGTACACTTGGTTTATGGGTCTAGAGCTTAGAACAAATACTTGAGCTAGAAAAAAGAACAAGTTTGGTCTAAAATCAGGGTCTGTGCAGGCTATGTAAAGGGTCGAAGACTCGGGAGAGGTGGGCCTGCGGTGAGCTGGGCAGCAAAGGCCCAGTCTGAGACCAGACGGATTCAGACTTTTAAAAATACTGGGCAGACTAATAACAACTGAAGTGTAGCCTGTCGAGGGTTGTCTTTTGGGGCCTCTAGATTGTGATATCTGAGAGAGATGATACTTAAACCCTTAAACCATGAGGGAGGGAGAAGGCGCCTGGGAGAGAAGCTAGGAGGGGATGAACTGGAGCCGGAAGCTTCAGTCTGCCATATAAAAAATTGGCTTTGAGTAAGCTCCCAGCCGATTTCCTGGGGTGGAACAAGCCACTGGCAAAGTGTCTGATTCTGCGCAATCATCACGTTAGGTGAAAGCCTGTCTCCCACACTTTCTTATTCCTGATTTAGGAAACTTCCAAATGAAGGAATGGCAGAGCTGGAAGGCCCCAAGTTCAGGGACTTTCAACACTAATGGGGATCAGTCTTGAACGCACAGATCCCCAATACCATTCTCCCAGACCTTCCAATCAAACCACACGGAGGGGTCCAGGTACCCCTGTTTTATCTAGCTCCCCAGGTGATTGTGGGGCACACACTTGAGAGTGGGTTTCTCCTCTAGCCCCCTTCAGATAAGGACTCAGCCCAGGGAGGTGAAGTAAATGGCTCATGGTCACATGGCTAGAAAGCAGGAGGGGCATCTATACTCGGCCCCTCACTCCAGCCCCTTCCTGGTTCCATTAACTGCCACTCTCCCAGACTCAGCCCCCACCCAGGCTGGGGGATCAGTGAGTCTCAGAATTGGATAATCAGTACCCCGGACTCTACTCTGACTTTGTAG